CACGATATTCACTGGTGTACATGCTGTTTTATATACTAAAATTTCTCCGTGGGAGCTAAAAAGTATCAAAAACGTTTTTTTCTGCTACTATAGGAATTAACTGCGAAGGAACAAAATGCTGATAAATATTCCATCAAAATGAACACAATTTACTATAAGGTATATATAAGTTTTCAAATGAAGCGCCACGATCTAGAAATAACACCAATCTTCAGTCCTAGATTCTTCATTTGAAAATACTTCATACAATTTTAAAAAATTAACGAAAAAGACAAATGACGAAGATCATTTATAAATATTAAAAGTGATTTATCGCGCGGCTTCAATACAATCGTCTTATGAAGGATGAATTGCTTTACCTGTACAACACCAATATCTTTAAGAGACATTTTGCCACCACATCAACGATAGTGCCAAAAGTCAGCCAAGTGAAATCTTTTGACCTATATATTTTTTTCTATTTTTGGATTCTATGATCAAAACTGGGGTTATGAAAACATTTTAAGGTCGTTTGGACTTGATTTCGCCGAGTTATAGAATTTATAAAATTAAGTACAAAAAAGCGCCCTCCATGATCTTTTTGCCTATAACTTCATCAAATTTTATCCGTTCTATTCGAATGACGTCTCATTCCAAAGTCCATCAAAAACTGAACAAAATCAGATGTTTCTAAACTTTTTCGACCGGAAACTGGATTTTTCAGAAGCCTACCATTTGACAAATGACTAATTTTAAAAACAAAATTTTTTCAATAAAGTTCTCTATATAATGAGCTATAAAACTTTGTTTCACAACCTCAGGAACATGTTGAAAAATTACTTGCAATTATTACCATCAAAGTAATTATACTATCATGTTTTTTAAAAGTGCAATCTTTGATGAAAAAAAAACGCACTTTTTATATTAAATCAAGTACGCTGATGAAGGTACAAGTGGTTATAGACAGACATATGATAAATATTTCAATATTTTATTTGACACCAGTACGTTTCCTCGATGACGAACGTTTTTTAGCCGGACGAACATCAGTCGTTGATCCGGCCCTTTTATCTGATGACACTGCTCGGTTTCGAGAGGAAGCTGGATGTGATGATTGTTCATTGCTAATTCCTATTGCATTTCTTAAGTTATTTCTTTGCTCAGTTTCTTCAACTACCTGATTGTCGTCAAATTCATCGTCATCTTCCTCCTCCACTTCGTCTACAACTACTGTTTATGTTTGCTTTTCACGTATCGCCTTCAAATGTGAAAAAAACATCTGATCAGGCCAGGTTTCACGGCAAAAAGATAGAAATGTGCACGGAGATGTTTCTGTGCACAGTTTCTGAAGAACGAGGTTAATCTGTACCCTGTCGTTTGATTATTAAATTCAATGGTTGAAATTTACGATTAGCATCAGAACATCCAAATACAATTTCAATTAAGCTTAAACGTGGCATCCACTTGAAGAAGTCGTGATAATGCACCGAGTGATATTAATTGTCTAGTAAAAAATACGAATAGATTGTCACATGATATTATTTCATATATCGGAAGAAACACATCCTGTAAACTTTGGATTGGGGGAATAGCAGCACGTTGTAAGCACCATTGTCTAAAATCATCAACCGAATACATTGAAGGTCGTGTTAATGAACGATGATATTTCAATAAATTTGTAACTTGCGTAGCTGAAACTGGGCTGATGTATTCATTTTGTACTTGAGCTTGAGTAAGTCGAGTTGCAACTGATTTTAATACTATATCCCGAAGACGATAGTTCGCGCCTAAAGCTACATTAACACTACGCCGTACACGATCTTGAACAGACAGTAATTTTTTAAATGCCGACATAAACAATGGCTTTGTCCAATATTTCTCCCGTAATGCTCGATTAAAGATAGTACAAAACGAAGATTTTTCTTCCAGTTATCCCAGTGAACACATACAAAGCGCAGCGGATTCACCTCGTGTAAGACCATCTGTTGGATTCTTGCATTTCTCCCGTGAATACATTCGCTTTATCTGGTTCTGTATTTACGTGAAGATAACGCTTTCGATCTTGACGTAATTGATTTTGTTTTGCCATTATGATAGTTCAAATCCAACTGAAACGAAGGAATACAAATCTTGACGAGTATTTGACATGCGTTATAGGAACTGCGCAAGTATTTTCCAAAAATAATACTTCATAAGGGCTTGTGCAAGTACTTGTGAGAATTTGCTAGTAAAAAAATATTTGAGAAGTGGTTCCTGTACTTAGACAAGTGCTTGGGTGTTTTGGTACAGCGCAAAGTACGTGCAAATATAATGGTCTGTGCTCATCAGTAGATTGGTAACTAATAGCTATCGCTCAAGGTTTGTATTCTCTACAAAAAGAATTTTAGTAAAGCGTTAGTTTTTCGTGTTTTTACAATAAATCTTTTATGAAATATGGATTCACCGGCTGTTGACAAAATAGAGGTAGCGTACGAAACCCCAAGAATAACTTCTTTCCGAAAAATTTCGGGTTCCTTTTCTGAACTTTTTACATGGGTAGTCCACGGCGTCCATATTCGACAGACCCTTGACTTGAAGCTCCATCGATCAAGCACCAACAGCTGTTATATCAATAGCGGTCACCAAACGAAAGGTGAATTGTCAACGATATATATTGGTCTTGCTCAATTACACAATTCGTCTTCCTCCTAACTGTGTTTCGACTACTTGTTGAGAGAACACCGATCGTGTAGTGAAGTTGCATCGTGACAACGTTCAAAGTGTCACATCACTGTTGAGACCTTTTGAAGAGCATTTCAGTGTTGCAACAACAACTTTACGGCGTGTCCAGCTAACGGTCTCCTTTTTTCGCTCATTTTCAAACAATTATTGCAATAAAGCTACAAACTAATCTAAAATGGTAGCTAGATAATTAAGTAGATTAAACATTTCTCTACATAGTGGAAAGTGTCTCGGCTCTGAACGTGGATTTCCTATGAAAATACAGGTGTTGCACAAACAGCGCAAAAAAGTCGATTATCTGAAAAACGTGTCTAAAAAAAGAGTAACGACGAGCAGACGAAGATTCAGCAAGTATACCAGTTTGAAGAAAATTGTTTGCTGTACAAGATGTGATAGCCTTTTAAGGTCGAAACTATTCTAATTAATCTGTATTAATCAAAGAAAACCCAGAATGTTTAATCTACTTAATTATCTTGATTCTTTGAAAACGAGCAAAAAAAGGGGACCGTCAGTTGGACAAGCCGGTTAAAAGATAGGATTCACTCAGACTGATACGCTCATATCAAAATCTGATGGTTCTTTTGTAGACTAGAGTACCTCAGGACTTTTACATATTCGGGATCAGAGCGACAAATGACGTTGTACGGCGCAAAGATCTCGTTGGGACCTTCTTGATTTTTTGGACCCGGCGGCTCGGGTTGCAGGAATAAATGAATATATAGGTTAAAATAGAAAATTTCTTCTTTTCTATAGGGAGAAATAAAGCGCTATGCACATATATACGAGCACATAAGAAAAAAATATGGGACGGAAGAAAAATAAGATAAAAGGAAAGAAAAACGCAGTGTGTTTGATGTCTACCGTTGAATATAGTGTAATACACCGTGAAACCCTCCAACAGAGCCACGGGGCCCAGAAAATCAAGAGGGTCCCAACGAGATCTTTGCGCCGTACAACGTAACTCGTCGCGTTGGTCCCGAATATGTAAAAATCCTGAGGTACTCTAGTCTACAAAAAAACTAGCAAATTTTGAGGTGGCACCTCATCTAGTGAGGGTGAATTGAATGAGGAATCTTCACACCGCATCGCACGTATTGTACAAGCTATTAAATCCTTTTCGAAGTGAAAAACATGCCGAAATATGTTTTAACTGGTTCAACCGGAGAACTTAGTACAAGTGTTTTACAACATTTACTTGGACTCGGCATCAGCCCTTGCTTAAAACATCTGATCTAGAATACACGATCATACGTGAGAGCATCTATACCGGATCTTTTCAAGTTTATCTTGGATATTCTGATCCGGCAACACCAACTGAAATTGTTGTGCCAGGCGATGTTGGTGTTACTTTTGCTTCAAGTGAACATTTGGGCGAAGAGACAACAAAATTACTAGCATCAAATAACGATTATGAAAACCAAACAATTTTGCTTACTGGTCCAAAAGCTTAGACACTGAACGAAGCAGCTTCACTGGTATCAAAAATCCTCGGCCGTGCGATTCCCGTACATATTGTGTCATCACAAAAATATGTTGATCGAGATAAACTATGGCTTCGTCTATAGGCTACAACTTATGACGCGCGGTGAACTGGCACGAGTTGATAGTACCTTGGAAAAATTACTGAGACGCCTATCAACAAGTTTTGAACAGACAGTGAAAAATATGTTAACAAACAAAGAAGCAGGTGCAAAAGCAACACCATTCTACAAAACAGAAGTAATGGAAACATGAAGATTGGACAAGAACAGTGTCACATTGAGATTTTTAACTAGAACACATTGCTATAATTACGATTTTCCGTTATTATGAAATACATCACTGGGTAAAAGTCTTTCGCCATCTCCTCTGTTTGCTGTGGGGTAATAGTAAAACATGAAGACACCCACAGTCCTCCCTCCCGCAGACACCCACAGCCCTTCCTCTTTATAAACATATACGATTTCATCTTTTCTTAACACAGTGTGAAACTCTATCTGATCGGTTCTTTTTCCAGATTATGTGTGTTTTTGTTCTGTTTCAAAGGAATTATTCTAAGAAAATGAAGCATTTCACAAGGTAAGTGTACAGTAGTTTCCGAGAAAGGGAGAGAGCGAATTAATAATACTAAAAAGAATTGTTTCTACAACCAATGGAATCATCTTGGCATTAGCCCCATTATCGATGGTTCAGCCTTGACTCCAATCTATATGTTCATGCCATTGTGTGCAACTGTTTTCCGCTGCCATTATGCTGGTATTCGAAAAGACAGCAAAACAAGTTACTTCATGCTTCTCAAGCATGCAGTAAAAGTTCTTTTTTTACTTTCCACGTTTGTTCAGTAAAAAGCAAATGTACATCGTATATCAGAATCTGTCGTGATAAATCTTGAGCAGAAATATCTTGTCAAGATATTTCAACAATTCTGAAATGATTAATTTAATACGCAATAATCAGAATCTTCATTAACATATTTGGGAATTTGAAAGAAAATCTTAAACTTTATTTTCTACTTAATATTTTCATT